CACACACAAAATGTGAAGCTAATATGCCACTTCCATATGACAGTATCATTCAGGCTTGATTGAAACATGATGCACAGCTGCCTTGTGTGGGTAGCAACCCAGCAGAAATCCTGTATCAATGCAAAGTGCCATGGGTAACTTCTTTTGCCTTAGTTAGTATGATGTTTAAATCAGGCCTCAGCAGAAAGCTTCAGGACAAAGAACAAATTTGCCATATGTAGTTTTATTAAGCTTTGTCAAGGGAGCACAAACCTCATGAGGAAAGGAATGAGATTTATTCAAAAGTTCCAGGACCCCGTTTGAATGTGTTTTCAGCATTTCCTCTATTAACTCAAACAATATTCCAACAGTTTTGTTCTCTCTCTCTCTCTCTCTCTGTGTGTGTACCTGTACAGCTTTAAAAGTGCTGCAAGCTGTAACTGCTCATAGACAGTATCTATCCCTACAATTTCAATCATGTTCTTCCATGTGACAAGGACTTGTATTATGCATTCTGGGGAGCTATTATTATGAGTCCTACCGTCCGCCCCTCCTTCTCTACAAGAAAAGCCACACTGAAAAAGTCAATGCCTTCACTGGGCAGAAAGGCAGCACACACATTTTGTAAATAAATAAGCAGTTTTTATTTATTTTATTATATTTACTTTGACATAAAAATACTTATTTGACTGGAACTCATTTCCCAGAAAATGTCCCTGTATTGTGCCCATACCAGGGGAGTCGTGGGCTTGAAGGTCACATCTAGGACATTAATCAGCTGCAGAGTTTACAGGGGATGCAGGGCTTATCCTTTCAAACACTGTGTTAAGATGATGTAGCATACCTACAGCTCACAGATGAATGACAGTTCCTTGGGGGGTGATATTCCGGTTAAGGTAGGGTGGATACTGGGGTCCTGCTTGGCATGCCAAACGTCACAGTTCAATCCTTGGCATCTCAAGTAATAGGATCTTGGGTAACAGATGTTTAGACAGATTTTCCTCTGCTTCAAGAGACAGACTCAAAGTAAATACTGACCTAAGTGGATCAACAGGCTAGCCATCCACAGCGGCTTCATACGTTCAAGTCTAGGACATGCTCATGGTGGCCAAGCTCATTCACAGGACTAAAAATGGTAGAGGGCAACCAGTCTGGCTGACTTCTTACAGACATGTCATTTGCTTGAAATATACCTAGGTTCCTAATCAATGTTCTCTCTAAGCTGTGGAGTCTTTTGAGCAAAAATTCTACTTTGTGAGCTACTGGCATTAAAGTTGTGAGTGAGTGATTTGGCTGCTGCATAAATTAGTTTGCTCTGGAGCCAGACTTCCTGAGCTAAAACAAAAATCTGTGAGCCTGAGGCTAAAAACCTGTAAGCTACCTCACACTAACTCATCTTAGAGGGAACACTGTTCCTAATATAACCTTCTTTAAGCCTAGGAGGCTTAATAAATTTTAATCAATCTAAGCTTGCTTATTTTACTAGATTATTTAATTATCTACACAGCAATATACTTGTTTGTATTTTTATTTTTAATAACTTTGAAATGAATAATTTAAAATTAATATGCTAGAGGAAAGGTGAATCCACTGACACTGACTTCCCGGTATGATAGACCTGATCTACTGCAGTATCTCTTCAAGGGATTGTTTCCATGCAGGTTACTGGGCATTAAATGTTTTCAACAGAATCCTCAAGAGTGTAACTCACTGTAGAACTCCTGAAGGTCCTATGTGACCAAGGCACTTTGGGAGATGCTCATTAGTGGCGATCTGGTACCTGAAGTTCAGCTGTCTCTCTTCCACCCTTACAGAAGGGACACGCATCCTCGAGGCGGTCAGTGAAGTTGGCTCAAAGGCTGGATTGCAAGGTTGCCACTCAAACTCAGCAGCTGTGGCTACCCCCACCCTGCCACCCCAACCCCATCCTCTACTGCTCCTCTTCTTCTTCTCTCCCCCCACGTAGTGGGCAGGACTCCAGGTGAGATGTACCGCAGGAGGAAGAGGGAGAATAAAAATACTAAGGAAAACCAGGTGGTAAGAATTACAGCAGCTTTTAAAATGTTATGTGATCTATTCATCTCTGAGTTGGCAAGGTACTTGGCTGTCAATTCCCAGTCCATCAACAAGAGTCATTTCCCCTAACCTTGGTGGCCTGCAGTGAGTTCATTCATAAAAACACTGAAGAACATCAGGTATGGTCCAGATGAACTCTAACCGTGTAGAGAGACACAGGTAAAGCCTCACAATTTAGGACCATGGCTCCATCTTATTATTAACATCCAGGTCCACTGTTCTCAACGAGACAAACAATGAAATTCTAAGAACACTTTTCTGCGAGTAAAGCCTCATTGTGTAGGATTCTGAGTAGACTTACTTAGATTCCCTGTCTAAATAGTGTACTCTAAATAGTAACATTAGACACACTTGGTTAAAATCTGTCCTTCATTGAAATATCTAGGCATTTTCTTGCTAACAAAGTGTCTAAAATCAATACTGACAACTCACCCCACCCCTTATTTTTTTAAAAAAACCTAGACTTTAAAAAATGCGTTTAATACTTTATCTCTGAAGCACTTTTGAAATTCAAATGCTTTTCTGCCCTCGGGTCAAACATAGTTTGGATGGGTGCTACTGCTTTTGGATTAAACAATATAATACAACGTATCTGTGGGATTGAACAGCATGTGTTCAGGAACTAAGCAAAAACAGTGCCCAAAGAAAGTGATTTCACATTTCAGAGGATATTAATAATATATACATTATATCTACAATCACAGTTTTCAAAAGCACAACCAGTAAGTATTAACTAAAGCAGTTGTTGGGGACAAAACAAAATTGTTATTTATTGGGTAGAACATTATTAGTGAACATGATGAGAGTAGCTTCCAGATTTCTGAAGCTCCATTTGACTGGCTCTAAGCAACTGGTATAACTTGGAAAGAGACGTCAGAGAAGTCCTATGGAGAAGGGCAACATCATCGTAACCTGGTTCTGCACAATCGTGCACGGCCTTCTGCAACTGTAGCTGCAGGGGAAAGGAGACTGTAGATCCTCTGAGGTTCAGAGAGAACCAGGGGCGAAATATTTTGTCACAGATGACCTGTGGAAATGAAAACAACAGGAACTTGCTATGAGATCTTCCAAGTCCACCAAACTTTAAGTTCTGATGACATAGCTTTTCTATTGAAGTGCAACTTTCCATACATCATCCAGTAAGGTTTTGTACCAAGTATATTTTAAATTACCTAAGATGTAAGTACTAATGTTCATATGTATTATATCATGTATAATATCTTTTCATGTCCTATAATCCAACCAGACATTTACCACAATTAGCATCTATCTAGTCTTTTGTTCCTTTGCGCCTTAAGGAGTAACAACATTAGTACGAGCTTTTCTAAGCCAGAGCTCACTTCCTCAGATACAATGGAAACAAAATCATTTGACTAGTTTTAAGAAAGGGATGGAGGGGGAAGAGTTGAGCAACAAGAGGCCTGGTATAAATCAGGTGTGATGCTGAGACAGCTTAGAGGATCTACCAACTCTCTCATGTGGTGAAAACCAACAAAAGTGCAATAAAGTAGGGTAAATAAATGAATTAAGGAAGAGGCAGTTTGAAGCATGAAGGAATTAACCAACATTGGTAAAGGGATAGGATATGTTATGATACAACATGTCAGAATCGTCTATAAAAGTTTTTAAAATGTGAGTCATCTTGGGTTATTAGAAATCATAATGAGTGAGGAAGTCCGAGTGTCAGCTTAAGTCAGGGTGACAGAAAGTGCTTAATTTTTGTTATAAGTTCTAATTCAACACGTTCATATTGTATATCCCTTTTGAAGTTTTTGCTTGTTTGTAGAACAGTGACTTTCAAATCTGCAACAATATGTCTAGGAAGATTAAAATGTTTGCCAAATGGTTTCTGAGTACTGCAGTTTCTCATGTCAGATTCGTGTCCATTTATTCTCTCATGTAGGGATTGATGCATTTGTCCAATGCAGATTAAAATGACAGCAAAGGAGAACACAGAATCTTTCTCTTGCAAAGAATAAATAGCAGTAACTACACAGTTCTCATGCTGGCTTAAATAGTGCTCCATCTGGCTCAGAATTCTTTATACCAGCAATGGCCAGTCATATGCCATTACTACACCTAAGAGCAAAGTGGGTGGCTTCTGCCAGCCACAAAAGAAGGAGGAGGAATTAGTCTGTTTTAAAGAGGGAATTATTAATTATATCTGTACTGCTGAAGTCAGCCTATTTTATTGTATATAGATATGCTGATGACACTGTCTGTGTGTCAGTCTTGGCTGACCTATGATCATAACAGACATATGTATGGGGGATATCTAGATACTATGGGAGAGGAAATTTACAAATAGTTTATCCTCTTTCCTTACAATGCCTTGTGGGCCTCCAGTTTACAGGACAGGATGATAGCTTCCATTCCCTGTGGCTAATATCCAACAGATGACTCCATCCAATCCTGTAATCTATTCTAGGCTCTAACATACACAAGAGGCTCTCCTTTCAAGAACAAATTTCAGTAGAAACATCTGGCCCGCACATAGATTACTTTGGGTATGCAGAGTGGCTTCTGCCATGTCCAAGTGCAAGAAGTGGGAACCTTCTGCTCTAAAGATCAAGCACTCTGTGAACATATCAAGGTGTCCACAGAGCTCTGGAAAGCAGGAAATGTCTCTTAGCCACTAACATACATAGCGTAAACACAACAGGGGATATTTGGAACTCTTATGTCAATATTCACATTTTGGACCCTGCTTTAAACAAAGCATGGGGTACTATTAACTATTATTAAAGACAGGGGTTTTTTTTATCCATTAAAATCCTCAGCAAACCTCATTTAAGGAAACAGGCAATTCTTGGGACTTGTGTGGGGCACACATAATCTACTGGTCACAAGAATGCAGTGATGGGAGGTTCCTTGGATTCAGTAACTCCATTTCCCAGGCAAAAGGTTTGTAGCCTGCTTTCATAAGACAGGTAAATCTTGTAGTGTATTGGCCTCCTTGGCTTGCCATATGTGGTGGTGTTGGAGCTCAACCCTTTAATTAGGCTGGCTACCTTCCATGCCTCACTTTCAGTCTCGGCTCCTTCTTGCTGGCAGTTGTCGGTTAAATCTCCTCGGTGCGATCTCCTTTCAGAGAACTTAACAAATCTAACGAGATTTTGGGGCAGGAAGAGGGAACATGTGCAATTGGCATGGTTCTGAGAGCTCATCAGAAATATCAGTCACAGCAAAGCTAAGAAAGACACCTGTAGGACTCAGGTAACTGTAGAACTTTTCCCCTTCCAAGCTGAGGTCATCACTGCTAGGCTGCTAGGCTGGTGCTGCCATGGTCCTGATCCAAGATGCCACATATAGCCCAAGCAAACTCAAATATATTCAAAGCACATTCCTCCACTCACTCATACACACGTGAACAATCAACAAAATATACACTTTTGAAATTATGGATATGATGTTGAAATTATTGGAAAATGAAGTCATCTGGTCCTGGAGGAAAAAAATTAGGTTACTAGGCAGAAAGTTAAAGGCCAGGACTTCAAAGGTAGCATTCTCAGAAGTGCTGCCGGTTCCATGTGGAGAGCCAGTTAGACAGACACAGATCAGGGGTCTCAATGCTACCCCCGGATGAGAAAGTGGTGCCAGGAGGAAGGGTTTAGATTTTGTTAGGCACTGGGGAACTTTCTGGGACAAGCCAAACCTGTTCAAAAGAGATGGGCTTCACTTGAACCAAAAGGGAACCAATCTGCTGGCAACGAATATCAAAAAGGTGTCAGAGCAGCTTTTAAACTAATCCCGGGGGCAAAGCTTGGGACCAGGGTGGCAGGGGAGGCGTGGCCCCTGTCCTGCTCTATGCCATGGTCCCAATATCATCTTGTTTGGCCCTATGTCATGTGATGCTAGAGATGCCATTTTTGATAGCATTACATGAAACATACATGAAACTTGGCTCTTAATGCATGGATTGTCTCCATCACAACATGCAAGTCCCATCAAAGACGTCTGGATCTGTGGAATTTGCTCTGAAAGGGTTCTCTGACACATGGAGGTCACCAGCTGGGGCTGCAGTAATCAAGTGAGGAGCAAGTATCACTTGATGACTGCAGCTCCATATGGTGACTTCTATGTGTGAATGAGCCTTTTCATATCCAAATATCTTTATGGCTGGAACTTTCATGTTGCGATGGAATCCTCTCAGGCACGTGAATGAGCCCATCACAACAATCATGGGGTCACTTATTCTAAATTGTACAGTAAGGAGTAATTTAAAATACTGGCATCACATCCAGTCATAAACAAGAACCCTGTAGCTCACCTGAAGGTTGTTATTGGCTCTCACTGCTCCACATTTTCTGCTTCCCAGGTCACACTTTGAAAAGCAATCAAAAAAATTACAGTCTTCGTCTCCCGTGCAGTTCTGCTCAAGGATGTCTCTCATTTTAGGCTCAAAAAAAGCCATATCTACGTCTATAGCAACCACCTGCAATCAGAGGAAGACATCCAAGGTGACACATGTTGACAAAAACAACCACACAAATTGCCATTTTTCGATTCTTACTGTTTCTAAGTCCTGAGACTGCTGACCCAAGCAATCCCGGATAAAGGAAAATTAGAAATTACAAGTGGAAGGGCTTTTGCTGCCTAGCTCAGCAACACCAGCGCTGAAAATAGAAATGTAACAGTCACAGCAGTTTCTTGTGACACAAATGGCGAAGATCTTCAGTGAGACTGCAAGCAGAAGCCAACCTCAGAATAATGTACTTTATAATCTATATATCTAATTCTCAACATGGCCCCCAATGTGCAGATACTTGTTTCTGCAGATAGGGGGCAGAAAAATCTAAAAACTTAAAAAATATATAAGGGGGAGGTTAAAAACAGCCAAAAAGTAAAACAGCGTTCACTGCGCATGTACAGAGAATGCTCAAACTGTTTGCCCATGACACCCTCTGCCCGGCTTCTTGAACCCCAGCCACCTCAACCAAAGCAGATGCAGAGAAAGGCCTCCCATGTCGGGAGGAGACACCGCCCTCCATGCTGGCAACCGCTCAACAGCTGGTGCAGAAGGCTGCCCCCACCCCCTCTTACCTTGTCCTTCATCCCACCACGGAAACTGCAGCTCACCTCCCACATCGGGAGGAGATGCTGCCTTCCATGCCGGCAACTGTCCAGCAGCCGGTGCAGACGCAGGCGGCCCAAGCACAAAGAGACACTGACGGAAAGAGTTGAGAAAGGCGGGGGGGCCCAGATGTTGTTGTCTGATTGTGCCCTTTAAATCCACCCAGCATTCGTACCTATGTCGGGTCTAACTCTGCTTCTGCGGCAGAGCAGAATGGGCTCCCGATGGCTGCGGGGTGCTTCCCAGATGTTGTTGTCTGATTGTGCCCTTTAAATCCACCCAGCATTCGTACCTATGTCGGGTCTAACTCTGCTTCTGCGGCAGAGCAGAATGGGCTCCCGATGGCTGCGGGGTGCTTCCCAGATGTTGTTGTCTGATTGTGCCCTTTAAATCCACCCAGCATTCGTACCTATGTCGGGTCTAACTCTGCTTCTGCGGCAGAGCAGAATGGGCTCCCGATGGCTGCGGGGTGCTTCCCAGATGTTGTTGTCTGATTGTGCCCTTTAAATCCACCCAGCATTCGTACCTATGTCGGGTCTAACTCTGCTTCTGCGGCAGAGCAGAATGGGCTCCCGATGGCTGCGGGGTGCTTCCCAGATGTTGTTGTCTGATTGTGCCCTTTAAATCCACCCAGCATTCGTACCTATGTCGGGTCTAACTCTGCTTCTGCGGCAGAGCAGAATGGGCTCCCGATGGCTGCGGGGTGCTTCCCAGATGTTGTTGTCTGATTGTGCCCTTTAAATCCACCCAGCATTCGTACCTATGTCGGGTCTAACTCTGCTTCTGCGGCAGAGCAGAATGGGCTCCCGATGGCTGCGGGGTGCTTCCCAGATGTTGTTGTCTGATTGTGCCCTTTAAATCCACCCAGCATTCGTACCTATGTCGGGTCTAACTCTGCTTCTGCGGCAGAGCAGAATGGGCTCCCGATGGCTGCGGGGTGCTTCCCAGATGTTGTTGTCTGATTGTGCCCTTTAAATCCACCCAGCATTCGTACCTATGTCGGGTCTAACTCTGCTTCTGCGGCAGAGCAGAATGGGCTCCCGATGGCTGCGGGGTGCTTCCCAGATGTTGTTGTCTGATTGTGCCCTTTAAATCCACCCAGCATTCGTACCTATGTCGGGTCTAACTCTGCTTCTGCGGCAGAGCAGAATGGGCTCCCGATGGCTGCGGGGTGCTTCCCAGATGTTGTTGTCTGATTGTGCCCTTTAAATCCGCCCAGCATCAGTACCTATGTCAGGTCTAACTGTGCGTATCATTGCAGCCAGAGATGGGGGCTGGCTGACAGATAAGGGAAAGGGGAGAAAAAAAGGGATTAGGAGAAGGGGAAAATAGGGGGTAGGTTAACAGAGAAGGGGGGTTAGATTGACAGAGATGGAATAGGTTGACTGATAGGGGAGAAGGAGAAAGAGGGAGAAGACTGTTGGAGAAGGAGGAAGAGGGAGGGAAGCAAACAGGGGGAAGGGAAGCACCCTCTCCACACGTTTCTTGTGGGTCCCCACTTGTTTCCCACTATTCTTCTTTCAAGGGATAGTGGTTTCTAACAATAATGCCCACTTCTGCTTCCTCTGCTCTAACAAACCTCACCCTTCAAAGATTCCTACAATCTCAGGGTCACAACAATAGCCCAACAGGAAGTTGAACCTAAACAAAAGCTCCCATCTACTCCCCTGCCCAGGTTGTCACCTCATCTGTCTGTCTGTCTGTCTGTCTCTCAAGACTGATCTTTCTATAAACCTGAAAAGGTTCTCAGGTTTGCAGAAAAATGTGAAATCTAAAAAAAAACAAAAAAAAACTGGTCAGATTTAAAAATCGGAAAATGATAAAAGGAGCACTTATAGCTTTAAGCAACAGATTTCCTCAGTGGCTGTTGCTAGGCAACCACAGTATTCCAGGCTTAATCTGTGAATAAAAAACCAGGGAAGAGGGGGCAGGGCCCTATCCAGGCCTATTTCGGCCTTTGAGGGAGAACTCATTGGAGTCAGGCCTGGCTAGGGTTGCCAGCTCCAAGTTGGAAAATTCCTTTAAATTCTGGGGTAGAGTCTGAGGAGGACAGGGTTTTGGGAGGGGAGATGCCTCAGCCGAATATAATGCCATAAAGTCCACCCTCCAAAGCAGTTATTTTCTCCAGGGAGACAGATATCTGCTGTCTGGAGTTCAGTTGTAATTCTGGGATACTTCCAGGTCTCACCTGAAGGCTGGCCACCCTAGGCCTGGAAGCAACCTCTGAGTGACTTGATACCTACCCAACTTGCATGACTGGACTTGGCTTGGCTGCTTGCTACTGTTCAACAGCAGCCACACTATGAAAGCCACTTTGGTGTCATGGTTCAAGCTTCAGGGTAGGTCCTGTGAGAATCAGGTTTGAATCCCCATCTTGCTGTGGAAGTTCACTGGGTGATTTTGAACCAGTCATATACCTTCAGCCTAACCTACTTCACAGGGTTGTTGTGTGGATAAAACGAGAAGAGAATAACGTCACCTGCTTTGGTACCCACTGTGGAGAAAGGTGGAGTATAAATGAAGTAAGTAAAAAATAAATATAGCTGAAGGTAGGAGGCAGATAAAAGGTAGGTTGGTGAATGGCGGAGAAGGAGAGAATGAGGCAAGGAGAGGATATGGAGATTGCCAAGAGGAGGAAAAGAGGTTAGAAAATTCCTAGAAATTTGGATGGGGGAACCTGGGAAGGAAAGGTTGAGAAGGGGAGGAATCTCAGAAGGCTATAATGCCACAGTCTCCATCTTCCAAAGCAGCAATTTCCTCCCGGGGAACTAGGGTTGCCAGCCTCCAGGTGGGGCTGGAGATCACCCGCAATTACAACTGCTCTTCAGATGACAGGGATCAGTTCCCCTGGAGAAAATGACTGCTTTGAAGGGTGGACTTTATGGCATTATACTCTGCTGAGGTCGCTTCAACTCCCCAAACTTCGCCCTCTGAAGGCTCCACCCCCAGATCGCCAGGGATTACCCAACCTCAAGCTGGCAGCCCTAAGAGGAACTTATCTCCACAGTTGGGAGGTCTGTTGTGATTCCAGGAGATCTCCAGCTCCCACCTTGAGGGTGGCAAGCAACCCTAGAAGAACAGAAGGAAGCAGGAAAAGGGGGGTGACTATTGGGGCTTTTAGGAAAGGGAACAAGGAAATAGTGGGAGAGGAGGAATTGAAATGCTTCCAGCAAGTCCTTGTGGGTTTCCGACTTGTGTGTGTGTGTGTATGAATGAGAGTTTTATCTCACTGACCAATTTCCCACAAGCTGCTGCTCTGCGCTCACTCTTCCCTTTGCCCCATCGTATGTGTCAATTTCACACTATGTGCTGCACGGCCACATTTTGCCCCAGAGCTTTGCCTGATTTCCTCCGCGTCTACTCAATCCTCAAAAAACAGGATTGAGTAGATGTAGGGGAAATCGGGTGAAGCTGTGAGGCAAAATGCGGCCACGCAGCACATAGTGGTTTCTACCCTGCTGTTTGCCAATATTTATTGGACGGTTTTAGCATTAAGTTCTTTCTTTCCGTATTGTGTACATTTTGCCAGGGAGGGATCCTACGTGTCAAAAGAAGGGATATGTTCTCCTAATAAATAAATATACCTGAATGCCACTCTAAGGCATGGGTAGCTGCTCCATTTCTGGCTACTGTGACACCAGATTTTTTGGAGTTTTGCTTGATTCCAATAAAATATCAATAAACTTTACATCCTGTTTTCATCCAGCAAGGTATATTGTTTCCTGTTCCTATGATGGCCAAAATCCCTCTGTCCATTTTTAAATGTGCATTGCCTCCTTTTGCTACAGTCTATTAGCTCAGGCATTTTCATCCCACTGTCTCCATGGATGTGGAATTGTACATATTCATTTATAAGAACTGTGAATATATAAAGTTGACTTATGCTGCATCAGAGCTCTGGTCCATCAAGGTCAGTGTGATCTATTCTGGCTGTCAGCAGATCTCCAGAGTCTCAGGCAAACATTTTTCACTGCACCTACTGTTAAGATTCTTTTAAATGAAAATTAAACCTGGGACCTTCTGCTTGGCAAGCAGATAGCATTGAGCCATGGTCCCTCTACTTTATAAAGTGAAACCGCCTAGCCTGCTTTTTGTCGATGCACAAATTAATCTCACAGGTTTTCAATGGGTAGCTGCTGCCATTACCTGATGTTCCCTTATGTTTAATCCCTAAACCCACTGAGGAGGATCAGCAGAAAGACAGAGAACAGAAGTAAGGCATCAACTCTGTCTTCTCCCTTTTGTTCAGGTGCAGAGTACTCTTTTCCCAAAGAAGGTGTTGATACCGTTATTAATGACATTTACTTGTTAAGTCCATCCTCATTATGTAAATAAAAAATTCTAGTCTCCAAGCCATCAAT